ATTATTTTTCTCACACATTTGTTAATATTCTCATTCTATATCATTAGAATATTAACTGTTACTAATCACATCATAATTCGTACATTGTAAAAAAAAACTTGGAATTTTCACATTTTATTTTGGTTGTAACTAATGAATAGATGGTTGCAAGATTCAGATCCTATGTTATGGATAGGTAGTTGCAAGATCCAGATCCTATCCTAAGTTATGGATGGGCATGTGTATTATATCACAATATATGTAGTATATTCTATCAGAATATCTTAGTATAAATGTATTCTATCAGAATATCTTAGTATAAATAAATGCCTAAATATGAAGATGACTTTAAGTGTTTTTATTGAAAAAAAGTTAATCAATAGTCTACTGAAGTAGATGTTTCTCTCGAAATGCCACTTATTTTGACAAAATATGATTTCATGACAGTTATTCTCATAAAATGTTATGGTCAAGGGCACAAATGAATTACCTGAAGAATGACTTGAAGACCTGATAGGAATGGTTTGAAGAAGGAATCAAAGAATGATCACACTCACAGTTTAAGAATGTTGTTTTTTTATTTGATTTTTAACCATTCTCAGTTTTATTGTTAAAGAATAAATGTAATTGTTAACTATTATTATTTATATTCTTTCAGAATGAATGTCATTTATGTATGTTCATAGTTGTATTTATTAAGAATGAATGTAATTACTGATTTTAAGATATTAAAATTTTTTTCATATAAAATTTGTATTCATTAAAACTTATTAATCTTAATAATATATGTTTATAGTATTCTGTCAGAATTTAATGTTTTTTTCTAGATAATCATTAACATAATATTTTAAAATGTCCGAATTAATATATTTATTATCCTAAAAATCAAAATTTTAAAGTTTAGAGAATTAATTATTCTTTGAAATTTGCAATTTTCCTTTTTCAAATTTATGTTAATTGACTAAAATACCCTTAGAATAAGATTAGATGGTATTTTTTAATTATCTTTAATTTAATAATATGTATTAATCACTTTATTAAAATAAATAAAATGATTGGCCCACAATCATTCTTACATCCACACAATAATTAGTTAGAATACAATAATCTAAGCATATATATATATATATAATGTCGTTGAATGAAGTGAAATGTAGTTAACATTCAATGAGTTAAATTTAGGGGTGAGCAAAAACCGAACCGACGACAAAAAAACCGACAAAACCGAAAGAAACCGTAACCGACCAATCGAAACCAATGCAAAAACCGACGGTGCGGATTTAACTTTTACAAAAACCGAAGTTATCGGCGCGCTGCGGTTTTTATAAAAAAAAAACCGGTCCACCAAAACCGAACCGCACCGAAAATGGATAAATAATAAATTACTAATTTATATTATATACATAATCATATATTGCATATTATCTAAAAGAGTAATAAATACTTAGATATGCATATATAAATATTGACGGTTTATTAATTTAGTCACATTGCAAAGCTTTTAAAAGAAGGTCCACTGTTCCCTTCTCCGCTTCGTGTTCTCGTATTAGACGAGTTTAATGTTTGTTTAATTGTGTTTGTGGAACCACAATATTTGGATTGAGGCCACTGTTAGTTTCTTTTTATACATAAATACGTTTTATCATTTTGTATGATATAAATTGTTTTTTTTTTCCTACAAAACTTATTTAATCTGTTTATTATCAATGATTTTGTATTTGTATATATATAAAATAACTTGTTTCAGAAAAGGGTATGGCATAAAATCATAAATAAAACGTTGTTTTTTGTTTTTTTTGTCCATATGTTGGCTATTTAGTTAAAAATCGGTTGAATTAGTTTCAAAAAATGGCACCAGACACTATAAGAAAAATCCTAAATAGATACGGAAAATTACTACGAAATCAAAATCCGTAGTCATTCTACTACAGAATAGGCTACCGAATAGCTTGTCGTAGCTATTTTGTTACGAAAATTGCTACGAAATTGCATTTCGTAGCTAAATCTAGAATGGCTACGGAAGTTGCTATAGAATCAAAATTTGTAGCTAATTTGCTATGGAATATGCAACAAAATGGCTTGTCGTAGCTATTTTGCTATAGAAATAGTTACGAAATTGCATTCCGTAGTTAAATCCTAAATAATTGTTACGGAATCGAAACCCATAGCTATTTTACTATAAAATATGCTATAAAATTTTGGTTGTAGCTAGTTCGCTATGGAACTTGTTATAAAATTTATATTCGTAGTTACTTGGTTAGAGAATTGGCTATGGAATCAAATCCGTTGGTAGTTGGCTACGAAATATTCCGTAGTCAAATAGTTATAAAATATGTTTCTCTTGCAAAATATATAAAATTGTTTTTAAAGACAAACTAGTAATATATTTAAAAGAAAAAAAGGTATCCATGATAATTTAAAGAGGAAAATGATCAACACAAACTAGTAATTTCAAATAAAGATATTGGACACTTTTTTAATTAATATAATATTACGGATACTAAGCAATCCAATTATATATATTATTTGTAACTTATATTAATAAAAACTGCATATATTTAGTAATAATGAATAATTAATTTATATAATACTTTTAGGAAAAATTAATTAACTCTTATTAAATTTTTTGACCTAAGCTAGTTTCCCCAAATCATCTTCGTTCCCCTGTTCCCCTAGTCTCCACTCCAGCCATAGTCGTAGGACTTTTACCATTTTTCAGATAATTGACGTGCTCTGTGTGTGCTCTGTGTGCTTCGACATATTCTGCGGTCCTCTCACTCTTCTTGTCTACTCCGCCGTGCACCGCCTGCTCCGGAATCAGTAGGTACGTTTTTCGATTCTCCGTCAACCGGTAGGTACTATATTCATAATCAATACTATATTGAATTTCATTTTTGTTAGCGGTAACTTTCGTTTTCTTTATCAGGCTATGATGATATGTATCAATGTTTCATAATGGATGCGTAACAGTGATCACTAAACCTCTAAGTTTGAAGCTCAAGATGTTGCTTATCTGATGTGTGACAGTAAAACATTGTTAAGCTAATTGTACTGTAAGGTTCAACTTCAGATGCAATTTCTTTGCTCATATCATCTCTTTTCATGATAATTTTGAATTTCTATGAATTTTGTTTCAATTCATCTTGTTTTTGGATTGCAATCATTGTGTGTAGATTGATTTAGTTGTTACAGTAGCTGGCAAAGTAAATTACCTTATAATTAATCATCAATTTCTTCTTTTTTCAATTTTCAGTTCGGTTCACTACAAGAAAAAGACCCTTTTACGACGCGCAAACCACGACACTCATTGATTTATGTTACGCAAAAGAGGGTGACATTAAAAAAGTGTCATCCCTTCAAAAATTTAAGGATTTATGTCACGCATTTTTGCGTGCCCTTAAATTAGTGTCTCAAGAAAAAAAATTAAAAACACGGAGGGCGCTTTTTCTTAGACGTGCGTCCTCTATACATGTCGCTTTATAATTTTAATGAAACGCATTTAGTAGACAGGGGGGAAACAAAATCCCCAAAATTTTTAAAGCCCGCCGTTGTTTTCTACCTTCTTTCTATCTTTCATCTCCGCAATCGCCTCTCTCCTCTTCGATCCGCTTCTCCGCTACTCCTGACCTCCAAGCACAATCGACGGTGTCTGTTTACTTTTCTTCTATTGTTAATTTATGCAACTCGAATCCTAGTTAAACCCACCTCCATGGACAAAATTAAAGTTAAGCAAGAGGTCTAGGGTTTCGGGTATTGGTGGTGGTGACGAAGGTCATGGTCACCATCTTCACAATTGAGTTTTGTTTTCGTTTTTAGGTTTTTTCACCATCTGTTTCCCTTTCTTTTCTATGAAATTAATCCCTTTCCACATTAATCACGCAGGAAACCACATGCATGCCGTATCCATCCAATCAAAGCCACTGCCACTCAAGCACCTCCTGTTGTTTCAAGTAAGAAGTTGTATAAGCGTCCATAGCATGCATTCTATCTATTTGATGTTATATTGAAGCTACTTTTTAATTTTTTTCCTGTAACAAATTCACCCTGCTTTGATTTTCCATAGAGACCAGTAACAGAGGGAAGACGAAGGTTGGAATCAATGGTATGCTTTCTCAAAATTCTTAGGTTTTTCACTCTATGTTTCCAGAGATTAATTCTTTTTCTTTTATTTTGTTTATTGCATTTGGCTACTTCTAATAATTTTAAAATTAACCTCACGAAATGAATTGCAGGTGTTTGCAACTCCTGAAGTTCAAATGGGGTTCCATCCAGATGCAGGGGCTTCATTTTATCTTTCTCGTCTCCCTGGTTATTTAGGTTGCAATCCAACTCTTAATGCATTATTTTTTATTTTCATCATTTCCAAGAATAAAATATTCTTAACCCTTCAGAATTTTAAATCCTAATTCTGTTTTTCTTGTGTTTTTGTAGGTGAATACTAACCATGGTTGGTTTGTTGATAGGTCCAAATCATATGATGCATGAGGTACTATTAACATTTTTTGATTTAATGTATGCTTATTCATTTCATCAATTACACTTATATATTATTAACTATTTACATATGTGGAATCCTCTTGGAGTAGTTGGTGTTATTACAACACTGTGGAAGGCCCCTGGACCACAGTGAGACTAAACTATGTTGCACACGCTGCCTGCTGGCCATTAGAAAATGTTGTAGTTGCAAGTGAATTTCTTGTAGAGGATGGAAATAGATATGTGAATATCAGATCTTTGGTTTCAGTTACCAACAACACAGATTTAGTACTCGAATCGTAAGGCATGATCAAGCGATAAAGCAAAAGTGGAACCAACTCCCAACAGTGCAAAACACAATAGAAGAAAGTGCAAAACCAGCATCAACAGTCGTTGTATGTACGCAAACATCCTTCAGAGGCACAAGAAGGAGCACAATCAAATACGCGTGAGAGCACTGGTTCCGATGTGGCAGCGCCAATTGTCAAGAAATCAAGAGGCCCATAACCACCACCCGAGGGTCAAAACATGACAGATGCTTCCTAATGTGTAATACCCGAAGAGGCTCCTCCGTTCAATGTTGTAGACGAAAGTCAAAGTCTGATGCCAAATGCAACCAAGCAAGCACTATCACCTGTTGTTTATGTGAATCATGTTTTTCCATTGTCAGGTACTATAAACCATAAACTTGTTATTTATTTTTAATTTTTATTTTTTGGGCGGTTTTTTAATTTTCTACCATTTTAAATATAGGAAGGTTAAGAGGGATATAAAGTAAAAAGGGAGGAGGTAGCTGATGTAAGTAGTTGATTTGAAGATTTGTGGAGCTGGTGGATAGAGCATAGGTTTTTTTATTTTCTACCATATATATATA